TTCCTCGCTCTTTCTCTGTTTGTCTGTCTATGTCTCTGTCTCTGTCTCTGTCTCTCTCTCTCTCTCCCTCTCTCTTCTCTCTCTCTCTCTCTCTCTCTCTCTCTCTCTCTCTCTCTCTCTCTCTCTCCTCTCTCTCTCTCCACCAGCATCATATAATCCCCTTCTACGTCGTTCCAGGACGAAGGACGGAGACGTCTGCGAAGCCTCCGAGAAGATCAAGATCGACATCAAGAAAACGTCGTATTGCGAGGCCACGATCTCGCTCACGCTGGTCGAGGCCGGGTCCATCGACTCCGGACAGTACCGTCTTAAGCTCAGCAACGAGGTCAACGAGACCAGCACCGAGACGGCCCTCATCGTTAGACGTGAGTGCCCGTGGCTTGTTGGGTGCTGAGACTGGGTGAGGGAGAAGGGCCTACCTCGTCCCTCTCCCCAGGTGAGGGACGAGGTAGGCCGTCCCTCACCTGGCATACTGGCCTTGGAACTATCAACCATTGACATGTCCACCCCCCCCCCACCCCCACCTTACGAAACCTTTACATCTTTTGTTTGTTTCAGTCATGGCGGCTAAACAGTTTGACGATCTTTGAAGCTTCATAACCGCAGGTTATTGTTTTGACATAAACAGTCTCGAGCTTCGGGGCTCATACGATTCATGAATGCAAACTAAGATGCTTAAATATTTGGATGACTTCTGGCTCTGACACATTGAGTTTCCTGCCCCTTCGCCTTATTGTTATTACTCCTACTTTGTCCCCTTATACTCTACTCTTCATTTATCGGTTTCTTATCTCTTGCAGCTGTCCGTCGGAAGCCCAAGATCACCAAGAAGCCTGAAGATGTTCATATTATGGACGGGAAGGCCTGTGTCCTCAGGGCTAAGATCACAGGCTTCCCCAAGCCTCAGGTTCAGTGGTAGGTTGACCTTGTTTGACCCAGCTAGCGGGGGGCGTGTGGCTTGATGGGGGTTGTTCAACACTATAGTGGTCAGGTCATTAGACTTTCTTTGTCCCGGGGAAGATATTAAGCTCGTCTTTGGTGCCCCAAGTCACGTGATAAGTTTACCTGTGCCCCAAGTCACGTGATAAGTTCACCTGTGCCCCAAGTCACGTGATAAGTTTACCTGTGCCCCAAGTCACGTGATAAGTTTACCTGTGCCCCAAGTCACGTGATAAGTTCACCTGTGCCCCAAGTCACGTGATAAGTTCACCTGTGCCCCAAGTCACGTGATAAGTTCACCTGTGCCCCAAGTCACGTGATAAGTTTACCTGTGCCCCAAGTCACGTGATAAGTTTACCTGTGCCCACTATTCACAACAGATAATCATCAGTGTTATTTACAACTTTGATTCCCCTGAGTATATTTTAAAGTATATTTTAAGTATACTTCTCAATATATGTTCATATATATTTGATTTCATGCCCTGGAAATATGGAGTTAAAAATGACTATGTATAACATTGTTTACTCTCAAATGCATAAGAAATTACCTAAGTGTAATTACCTAAGTGTAGTTACAGGATGAGAGCTACGCTCGTGGTGTCCCGTCTTCCCAGCACTCTTTGTCATATAAGTGTTCTGAAGGTCGTGTTGACTACCTCCTCTTCTCTTCCCTCTCCCCCTCCCTCGTGGGGCTCGTAGGCTCAAGGACGGCCACCAGGTCTACCCTACGGACCTGGTAGACACCGGCGTCACGGCTGAAGGTCTCTACTACCTGGAGTTCAAGGTGGTGAGTGAGGAGGACGCTGGCCGCTACACCGTGGTGGCCGCTAACGACGAAGGCACCGTAGAAGCTGATGCCGTCCTTACTGTAACGCGTAAGTGGCTTGTAACAGCGGTTGGAGAGGGGGGGGGTCTTGGGGGGGTCATATTTTCTTTCTGGGTCACAAGGGGAAGGTTACAAGGTTAAGGGGGGAGGGTTGGAGGGTGGTGTCATGTGTTATAAAGACAGAACAATCACCGTTGTTCACTGAGAGAACAACATTGTTGTTCACTGAGAGAACAACATTGTTGTTCACTGAGAGAACAACATTGTTGTTCACTTGTGTCAACAACAATTTATACAGCTGATCTAAATTTGGGCGCCATGGTGTAATTACTCAAATAACTATGACAGATTTGATGCAATTACACAACTTGGCGGCACGCTAGTTCCCGCCCTCACGCTCTGATTCACTCACTCACTCACTCACTCACTCACTCACTCACTCACTCACTCACTCACTCACTCACTCACTCACTCACTCACTCACTCACTCACTCACTCACTCACTCACTCACTCACTCACTCACTCACTCACTTTCTAACTTCTTCTTATCATCTTTCCAATCTTTTCTCCCCAGCTCACTCAATCATTTCATCAATTATTCCGTCAATTATTTCATCAATTATTCCATTAATCATTCGATCAATCAACTAATGACTGCTCCTTCCACAGCTCCACCTTCGAGGCCAGAGTTCCTACAGAGCCTCAAGGCCAGCAAGGTCATCCTCGGGTACCCTGTCAGGATGGAGGTCAAGCTTGGAGGCTCACCGAGACCAGAGGTCCAGTGGTAAGTTCTCAGAGGTCACATTAGGTCAGGGGACGGGTCACGGAGATGTCAAGAGGTCATATTAGGTCAAGAGACAGGTCACGGAGACCTCAAGAGGTCACATTAGGTCAGGGGACGGGTCACGGAGATGTCAAGAGGTCATATTAGGTCAAGAGACAGGTCACGGAGACCTCAAGAGGTCAGGAAAAGGTCGAAAGGTTCTAAAAGGTGGGGAACTTTTCGACATGTCAGATGGGAGAGTGGGGCCTGGAGGAGGAGGAGGTCAGAGATGTGAGCCAGGGGTTCCATGGTGATGGAAGGGTTTCGAACCCGGGCCAGGAGAGAGTGGGTCTGGGAGTCTGACACGCAGACTCCTGGCGGGCAAAATGGGCAGCAGGGTGACCCACCCGGTGCACAGTCCTGCCTCGAGTACCGAAACATCTAAACATCTTCGCGAAAAGTTTGCAGTAAAGGCATCCACTTTCTCTGTCTCCTCCCGGATGGTCCCTATTTCCTGTTTGTCTTCCCTCTCTCATGTCCTCCATTTCCTCTCTTCTCCCTCCTTCCTCCTCCTCTCTCTCTCTCTCTCTCTCTCTCTCTCTCTCTCTCTCTCTCTCTCTCTCTCTCTCTCTCTCTCTCTCTCTTTCCTCATGTTTCATTCACTGTGTTCACTGATAACAACCAACCAATACCTTTCCAAGTACTAACCTAACCTAACCTAACCTAACCTAACCTAACCTAACCTTCTGGAACCGTGCGACTGTTTAGGTACAAATTGGCTCTTTCTGTTAGTAACAAACTAGAGAGAACGTCTCGGGGAAATTTATGAGGAGAAGGTGCTAAGACAGTATGACTATATAGCACTTGGGAGAGGTATGAGGACAAGGAACTGGGGTATGAGGACAAGGAGCTGGGGTATGAGGACAAGGAACTGGGGTATGAGGACAAGGAACTGGGGTATGAGGACAAGGAGCTGGGGTATGAGGACAAGGAACTGGGGTATGAGGACAAGGAGCTGGGGTATGAGGACAAGGAACTGGGGTATGAGGACAAGGAACTGGGGTATGAGGACAAGGGGCTGGGGTATGAGGACAAGGAACTGGGGTATGAGGACAAGGAGCTGGGGTATGAGGACAAGGAACTGGGGTATGAGGACAAGGAACTGGGGTATGAGGACAAGGAACTGGGGTATGAGGACAAGGGGCTGGGGTATGAGGACAAGGAACTGGGGTGTAAGGACAAGGAACTGGGGTATGAGGACAAGGGGCTGGGGTATGAGGACAAGGAACTGGGGTATGAGGACAAGGGGCTGGGGTATGAGGACAAGGAACTGGGGTATGAGGACAAGGAACTGGGGTATGAGGACAAGGAACTGGGGTATGAGGACAAGGAACTGGGGTATGAGGACAAGGGGCTGGGGTATGAGGACAAGGAACTGGGGTATGAGGACAAGGAACTGGGGTATGAACGTAACAAGGAACTGGGGTATATGTCGGGGATTGAACGCCGACCTGCATGAAGCAAGACCGTCGCTCTACCGTCCAGCCCAAGTGGTTGGGTTGGATGTAGGTAGAATGTGGCACTAAACACCTTCTCTCCCGCAGGTTGAAGGACGGCCAACCCGTCAACTTGGACGGGAAACACTTCAAGCAGATCGTAGACCCAGACGGAACGGTCATCCTCCAGATCGACTCGGCCTCCGAGGGCGACATGGGAGAGTTTACATGTGTGGCCAAGAACGCCGAGGGCGACTCCAGGTCCTCAGCCACGCTCTCTGTTCTAGGTAAGCACACTCTCCTTCCACGGTATATCCGTCTTCAACGTGGTCTTCGGTAAACTTAGTTCCTATACGCGGTAAACTCCTGCATGGTTCTCGTAGGCTGGTCTTTGAATAGTCTCTCCTCCGTCCAGTCGCAGCTAATTGCTCTAAAAACTTTTACAAGTGTAATAAAGTCGTACTGAAAGCGCGTACTCCTCGTAATTACTTGCTTTACTTAGTCGTGAGGAGCAAACAAGTTAGGGACCGTCTTGTTTAGGTGTTTAACAGGGCTGAAGTCTTTCTACCTGCAGACACAGAGGCAGCTGACTGCACCTGGCCCCTCCAGCTGTCTACAGTCTTGACCTAACGTCAAAACATCTCAAGGATTTGCATGTGCATAATTTGTTGTATTTTTTTGGTATTTATCTTTGAAGGTTCTTGTAGTCAATGAACAAGCTGTCCAAATTGCATTGAATATCCATCTATTATTTTATAATGCATTCCATAATTACCCAATTATATGATATAATATAACCCAATCCACTAGCATAATCCGGACCACATTCATTTCCACATACTGCTAAGTTTCCTTCACCGAGCCTCCACATGGAGTGCCTCCATCTTTCCTTCCTTTTACGGGCTATTCATGCCCGTGCCACCTCTTGGGTGACTTATTTATCAACCAATCAATCACTCTTCCTTGTCCACCATTTGGTCACCATTTGGTCCGGGAGACATCTCCCGTCACGCAGGGTGCAGTTGCGCCTCCACAGATCTCCAGTATCATCTTTTGATACTGGTAATGGCTCAAAAGGGCCACCACTTACGGGCTATTCATGCCCGTGCCACCTCTTGGGTGGCTTAATCTTCATCAATCAATCACTCTTCCTTCCCAAACAGGATTCAAACGAGAGGATGGCCAGCCTGACGGGCCGGCCAGGTTCTCTGAGGGTCTGAAGGACGTGAGCTTCGACGAGGGCCAGACCATCACGCTGCCGGTGGCCATGAAGGGCGGCCCAGTGCCGGCCATGAAGTGGTTCAAGGACGGCGAGGAGATCAAGCTCGGGGAGCGAGCCTTCTTCACCTACGACGGCGATAGGGTGAGCTTAGGGGGATAGGGTGAGCTTAGGAAGATAGGGTGAGCTTAGGGGGATAGGGTCGGTCGGGGTTGGGGAGCCGGTCGGCCGAGCGGACAGCACGCTGGACTTGTGATCCTGTGGTCCCGGGTTTGATCCCCGGCGAGAAACAATGGGGCAGAGTTTCTTTCACCCTATGTACCCCTGTTACCTAGCAGTAAAATAGGTACCTGGGTGTTAGTCAGCTGTCACGGGCTGCTTCCTGGGGGGTGGAGGCCTGGTCGAGGACCGGATCGCGGGGACACTAAAGTCCCGAAATCATCTCAAGATAACCTCAAGGGTGAGTTTAGGGGGATATAGGGTATCGGTGGCTCGGTCTTTGGGCAATAGATGGCTAAGGCGTGGGGGTATAGTAGATAGTTAGGAAGGACAGTAGGGGAATAAAAGGGCAAAGAAAAAATATATAGAATTGGCTACGAAATATAAGGGCGTCTGACAGCTGGGTGGACAGCGCTTCGGATTCGTAGTCCTGAGGTTCCGGGTTCGATCCCCGGTGGAGGCGGAGACAAATGGGCAAAATGTTTCTTTCACCCCTGAAGCCCCCTGTTACCTAGCAGTAAATAGGTACCTGGGAGTTAGACAGCTGTTAAGGGCTGCTTCCTGGTGGTAAAGACCTGGTCGAGGACCGGGCCGTGGGGACACTAACCCCCGAAATCATCTCAAGATTAGTGATGCTGCTGATGTTGACTAGAGGGAGGATATAGACATCTAACTCTCGTCATATGTATATTTAATAATTTATTACATGTAATATTTGATTTTATCTAAATATATTTAAATATTTAAATAGATATACTATACAAAAATAACCAGTTTAAATTATAATTCCATATTTTAACTCTTTAATTAAATAATTCCAACCAGTCACATTTATTACAGAAACAGGTAAAACGTTCGGATAAATGGAATATATAAATCCGGATTAACGAACGGCAAGACCAAGCAAAAACTAGTATTGTTTATTTTGTGATGTTTGTGTCCTCTGTATCTCCCATACGTGAGGTTAAGACGTAGCAAGTAAACCGTAATGTAAACTTTAGATAAAAAGTTAATTAATTAAGTTACTCATTCACTGTAGAAAATTATACGTAGGTATTTTTGGTTTGTTGAATTTTTGTTAGAACAATTAGGTTTTGTTAAATATTTTTGAAGAAATTTTTTATCTGGGAATTGTTAATGAACTATTTAGCAAAAATGAGAGATATATATATATAAGAAGCTCATAAAACAGTGATATATATATATATATATATATATATATATATATATATATATATATATATATATATGCGAACAAGCCTGAATGGTCCCCAGGACATATGCAACTGAAAACTCAGTTGCATATATATATATATATATATATATATATATATATATATATATATATATATATATATATATATATATATATATATATATATATATATATATATATATATATATATATATATATATATATATATATATATATATATATATATATATATATATATATATATATATTTTACGAGGTATACTCTTCTCGGCATTTATATACCTCAGTATACCAACTAACCAATAGATGTTAATCTATTTAATCCCTGTTGAGTCTTTTCGATCAAAAAGAATTTAACATTCGATTACATGGAAAAGTAAGAGTTTGTGTTGATTACAGATAGTTTTGAGTTTGCTTAGTAAAAGACTCATAGAAAGTTAGAAAGTGTGTGTGGATTGGTATTCATATTGTAAGTTAACTTGGCACGTGATTGGTATTCATATTGTAAGTTAACTTGGCACGTGATTGGTATTCATATTGTAAGTTAACTTGGCACGTGATTGGTATTCATATTGTAAGTTAACTTGGCACGTGATTGGTATTCATATTGTAAGTTAACTTGGCACGTGATTGGTATTCATATTGTAAGTTAACTTGGCACGTGATTGGTATTCATATTGTAAGTTAACTTGGCACGTGATTGGTATTCATATTGTAAGTTAACTTGGCACGTGACTTTGTAGGTGTAGATTTTTACTGTAGGATTTGTTTGTTAGTTATTTTTTACTTCCATGGTTTCCTAAAATTAACAATAAATTAAATTGAATAATTGTCACAGTTTAACGGAAAATATAAATATTTAAGAGGAGGCAATTGTTGTTATGTTCAATTCCAGCTGCGTTTCTTAGTTTTTCACATCCCATTTTTTATAATAAAAATTGATGAATTTATTCCCATTTTTGGTGTTTTGTTTTCCCCCCTTTCTGTAATGTTCTTCCCATTTTCTCTAATGTTCTTCCCACTTTCTGTAATGGTTTTCCCACTTTCTGTAATGGTTTTTTCCCACTTTCTGTAATAGTTTTTCCATTTTCTGTAATAGTTTTTCCACTTTCTGTAATAGTTTTCCCACTTTCTTTAATGGTTTTCCCACTTTCTGTAATGTTCTTCCCACTTTAATGATTTTCCCACTTTCTGTAATGATTTTTCCCATTTTCTGTAATGGTTTCCCACTTTCTGTAATGGTTTTCCCACTTTCTGTAATGATTTTCCCACTTTCTGTAATGGTTTCCCATTTTCTGTAATAGTTTTCCCACTTTCTGTAATAGTTTTCCTACTTTAATGGCTTTCCCACTTTTTATAATATTCTTCCCACTTTCTGTAATGATTTCCCATTTTCTGTAATAGTTTTCTCACTCTGTAATGGACCCTTGCAGGCGTTCTTGGAGGTCCGTCCGGCCATAGGTTCTGACTCAGGCAAGTATAAGTGTGTGATAGAGAACCCTCACGGCTCCGCCGAGACCGAGTGTGAGGTCACCATAAGGAAGAGCTTCGAGGAGCCGTGCTTCACCTCCACCTTCCCCAGCCAGTCTAAGGTCAGCAAGGGCTCCTATTTTCTTATTCACATTTTCTCATATTTGTGTTGACTATAAAAAGCTTCCGATATAGGTTCAAATGTCCTCATTTTGAAATCAATTATGTAGTATATATATATTTTTAGTTAACAAGTTTCTTAGAATGTAATTTACACTAATATAAATTGAGTAGATATTTCTCTATTTTCTGTATTGATTTTATTTTTTAAAATCTTTTGTGCTTAAAATATTAGCTTCCTGGACACGATGTCAAGATGTCGGTGAAATACGACGGTGTTCCATTGCCTGAGTTGACTTGGTACTTCAACGGCAAGCCAATCGTCCCCGATGGCGACAAGTTCCGCATCAGGCGAGAGGGAGACGGACAGACACTCTACCTGAAGGACTGTACCTACAGCGACTCCGGCAAGTACAAAGTCGTGGCCAAGAACCGTGAGGGACAAATCGAACACGAAGCCGAGCTGGAGGTTGCGGACGTTGTGTAAGTTTAATCTCAGATACATGTACAATTCCCATTTTCTTACAATAGCGTAATAATACAAGAGGCAAAATCTTACACAACTTTTCATTCCAATTTAATTTTAGGATCCCATAAAATCTGGGTATTGAAAGACTACAGATGGGCTAGCTACTCCTCTGCTCTCATTCCAATGTCTAAGAGTCCCGGTGCTAGAGAGTTCCGTTCCGACAATGTCAACAAAGTATTAGTGTGTCCCGTTCTGACAATGAACAGCATTTTGGATGCTATTAACCCCAGCCTTCAAATTCTAAACGCCAATGAACTTAAAGCCTTACAATTTTGACCCAACTTCGGCGCATTGCCCTTGATAAGTGGAGTGTCCAGGTTTGTATGCTAGTGATTAATCCAATCCATATCCTAAGAAGATATTAATCCAATCCATACCCTAAGAAGACATTAATCCAATCCATACCCTAAGAAGATATTAATCCAATCCATACCTCAAGAAAGGATTGACAGCCTTTCTCTCTCTCTCTTTCTCCTCTAGGGATCCGAACAGGCGGGCTGAGGCACCAGTCTTCCTCAAGGCCATTGGGGACCAGGAGGTGTTTGAGGGCTCCAAGGCCCTCTTCAAGGCCATCGTCGTGGGCAGACCCGAGCCTGAGTACAAGTGGTACAAGAACGGAGGTCAGGTCATTGGATCGTAAGTACTGGATTGTAATTGGGTGACTCTCGATTTAGATGTTTTCCTTGGCTGTTTGATGAATAGACGTGACTCTATTGTGTTTGATTTTTTTTTTTTAGTTAATTCAAATGGTTAATCAATTTCTTTATTATTATTAATGGTTCTATTGACGGCTTCTATGATGGAGAATATATATATAAGTTTTAATTGAATGAAATGAAACTCTGGCTATTAAAAATTGTGATATGGCGAGGACACTAACATAAAGATGTAAGGTCAAGATGGTGAAGAATATTTTAGTAAAAATGGGAATAAGGAGATGTGGATTGTGACGGTTTGGATAGGGAAGATGAGACAAAAGATGGCTAGGATAGTAAAGATGAGGATAGGGAAGATAAGGATAGTGTAGTCAATCTGCACTTGTCTGGAGTATTATCCCAAGAGTGAGATTCTTTCCCAGGGAGAAGTAGCCAAGTCGTCAGCGTCTCAAGTAGTGGTCAAATAGAAGAGAGCGGACCCAACTTAGCGAGGTATTTGGTGACCATTATGAGTGAGAGTGGTGTGAGTGAGGCTTAGAAATGGGATGGGAATGAGGGAGAAAAGAAATAGGTTGAGGAATGTGGTATTCGAAGCAGGGAGAATAGAAATAGTTAAAGGTGTATGGGATTATTATTGATTTTAAAAGTCTGTGATTCTGTTTCTCTCACTCTCCTCTGTCTCTCTCTCACCTCTCACTCGGCTGTGTCCTCACGCCTCAGGAACCGCGTGGTGATCGAGAAGGACCCGGAAGGCCTCATTCGTCTTAGCATCAGACACGTCACCTCGGAGGACTCTGGCGTCTACTCCCTCAAGGCCTGGAACGAACATGGCGAAGCCTCATGCCAGGGCAAGCTCATCTGTGAGAGTAAGTACAGCGCTTGACTGACGGGCTGCCTGACGGAGGACCCACCTGACGGAGGACCCACCTGACGAAGGACCCACCTGCCGGAGGACCCACCTGACGAAGGACCCACCTGACGAAGGACCCACCTGACGGAGGACCCACCTGACGCAGGACTGACGGTTCGAACCTACGTCCGAAAGCATCCCAGACGCTGCCTTAATCGACTCAAAGAATAATCTTTTATCCCCCCTTTCCTTTTCTTCCCGTAGCCTTGACGAGTCTCAAGAAGCGGCCGGTGGGTGACGAGTACCAGGGCTTCGACAGGATCCGTCGCTCCGGAGTGCCCATGCCGCTTCCAGAGAAGCCCATGATCAGTGCCCTGTCAGACCGTCGGGCGACCATTTCCTGGATGCCCTACCTCGCCAACCCCCACACCCAGCCCGTCACCTATCACGTGGAGATGTGTGAGAGCCCTGAGGGCGAGTGGGTGACAGTGAGGACAGGTAAGTGGGAGCCCGGGAGGTGACAGGTGGGATGGTTGAAGCCCAGGATGTGACAGCTGGGATAATTGAAGCCCAGATGAAAATATTTTAGTGAATAGGTCGAGAATATTGAGAATTCAAGTGACATATTTGTGTTCACCTGAGCGCCTGCACACTTATTCACCTGTTCACTCGGGTGTTCCACAGGTATCCGTGGTTGTAGCGTCGACATCACTAACTTGTTACCCAAGAGTGACTACAAGTTCCGTGTGAGGGTGGCCAACAAGTACGGTGTGTCTGAGCCGTCTCCTTACGCCATGACTTACAGGTAAGTGAACTCTTTCTCTCTACGCCATGACCTACAGGTAGCTTGTAGTGGTTTGTTGATATGTCCAAGTTGCTCACTTACTGCTTGTTTAAGGCTTCGGGTATATCATTTTTCACACCACAAGTTGACATTCAAAACTTATCCTAAAGCCTTCAGACGTTGGATTCGAATCCCGTCACTTCTTCAACATGACTTGACATCTTCTGACCTCTCCTGCAGACACAAGCTGGAACTGCCACCCATAAGCTACGAGCCGAAGATGGACCCCAACTATGACTTCAGGGGTGACGGCCCGTACGTACCGGAGGGCTTCAAGATCAGCCGAGACACCTACGGCAACTATTACGCACCTCCAAGATTCCTCCGTCTCGACCACGACACCCAGTACGGTCTCCGAGGCTTCAACGCTTACGTCAAGTGGTACGCTTACGGCTACCCGCTGCCGAAGGTGAGGTTCCTGCGTGACAACAAGCCCCTGGATGTGGGCGGGAAGGGACGCTTCACCTACACGCAGGAGTCCACGGGAGAAATCTGTCTCTACATCGACAGGTATGTGTTTTGGGTTTACCTTGAGGTTACCTTGAGGTGCTTCTGGGGGCTTAGCGTTCCCGCGGCCCGGTCGTCGACCAGGCCTGCTGGTTGCTGGACTGGCCAACCAGGCTGTTGGACGCGGCTGCTCGCAGCCTGACGTACGAATCACAGCCTGGTTGATCAGGTATCCTTTGGAGGTGCTTATCCAGTTCTCTCTTGAACACTGCGAGCGGTATTAGATCTCTCGAAACAACCCCCAGGTAAAGCACAGCAACAGCGAGGTTTCCTTGGTCATATGATTCATGTTATTTTTAACTGTTTGCTTCTCATTTCTATTCAGTAAAAATTGAAGTATTAATGTAAAAAAAAAATATACTATTTTGAAATTATAATGGAAATATTTTCAATCTTGTAAATCATATTTCGACCCTTTCAAAACATGAATCACCTGATTTTTAATTTTTGTTTTCTGCGAATCTGCACCAAAATGCTGTTATTGCTCTAGCGCCTGAACTGCTTAACCGATTTGACTTTAAATTACTCCCATTGCTTCATCTAAATAGATGTGGGTGCTAATTAGACTGTATTGTTCGTCGAGTAAACTAGAATGACAGTATATTCTGAATTCTTCAGTGACTGTTGTATGAAAACAGCCTCAGTTCGGCATAAGAATGGGCCTAGAGAGCTTTCCTACTTTTCTGTCAGGGTCTTCGTCAGGTCAAGGCTGCTCAACGGAGACCACAGCTGCCTGAAAGGACAGTAGAGCATATAAATATGCAGGGAAAACCATTCAGAGCATTTGTATCAACCTGGAGCATATTTTTCTAGTTGGAAAGTCCGTCTGGATCATAAGAGTAGATTATAAACATCTAGTCCGGAAGGCCAGTTCGAAAAATTAGAGACATATTCAACATTCAATAAACATAAAGTTGAGAATCTGAGGGGTAAAAACGGAGATATCATGTCCTGATTATATCCTATCTGTCCATCATTTTTTTTTTATATTTTCGCTCATCTTCTCCTACTCCTTCTCCTCCTATACGTCTGCCACTCTTCGTAAAAGCTTAGCCCCTGGCAGGTAATGGACTGAAAACTGAGGACTGAGGAAACTTTGTCTCAAAGTATTGGGGAAAGTCAACTTTTATGTTCGTAGATGTGAAATATTTTTAGTTTCCTTACGGGTCGTCTTATCTATTAATTGTCGTAATTCACTGGAAACACAAGTTTTATCACCAAACAAGAACTTCCCAATCATGTGCCCTTTTCCCGCACACACACCCACACACGCAGACACGCACAGACACGCACAGACACGCACACACGCACACCTCAGCATCCCATCTCTTCTGACACACCTCCTACGCCTCCCTGGCAGGATGACTGAGTCGGACGTGGGGCGCTACGAATGCATCGTCACTAATGAGCACGGAGAATCCCGCCAGCGCATCCAACTGGCCTTGTCTGAGTACCCGCGGGTCCTCCAGCCCCTCGAGGAGATCCACATCAAGGCCAACTCCTCCGGCAGGATCATGTGCAGAATCTCTGGCTATCCACCCTGCGAAGTCAAGTGGTTCCGCGACTGGGAGCCTATCACTCCTTCCTTCAGGTTTAGGGTGAGTCTTTGTGGGGCTGTTCCGAGCTTGTGTGTGTGCTCCTGAGGGGGTAGAATAGTCTTTGTGAGGCCTTAAGTGAGTGTAAGAGTCTCTGTGTGTCTAGTCATACCGTCTCTTCTACTCCTGAGGGGTAGAAGAGTCGGTATAAGCCCTTGAGAGGATGTAAGAGCATTTGTGACCTCCTCTGCGAGCTGGAAGATCCTTTGAGAGGGCTTGAGTGGGTGTAAGAGGTGCCACAGGGATACAAGAGGCATGTGAGCTGCTGCTACCTGGGGGGAGTGGAGCTGGCGCCCTTCTCACTCGGTCTTCTCCTCGTCCCCAGCCCATGTACAGCGAGCCGGACTGGTACATCCTCAACATCAACGGCGCCTCGACGAAGGACGCTGGTCTCTACTCCGTTGCTGCCGTCAACGTCGCTGGCAGCGTCCACTCTTCCGTGAGTAGATGGTAGATTAACGCAGTAGATTAGTTGACGTATTGATGGATGATATTTATAAATTTACAAGGTAGATTTGGTTAAGTGGCCAAACTGGCACATTTATAAATTGGTGAATGGGTTGGGTTAGTGTGTAAAATAGGTATATTAAGTCCCCCCTTTCATCCTACCACCATTACCTACCACTCCCCCTGCCCTACCACCACCACCACCACCCCCTTTAAGAGACGCGGCACCGCCCCCCCCTTGTGGCAGTGTCGTTCAGAAAAAGGGGAAAGCAACCCGGGACGAAGTACACGACGACCCCGTGTGGTGGCCGTTGTGTCTCTACCTGGTACACGGTGCACTCAGTGACTCCTGCTGCTAGAGTTGATGATCTTACTGCTCTTGATGATCTTACTGCTCTTGCTAACTCTTCCCTTTGTGTCCCGCGGTGCAGTGCATGGTCCACGTCCAGGAGGACGACACCGGGTTCTACTGGACCGGGCCAGGGATGGGCCGCCAGGTGGCCATCAACCATCGGCGCGGCACGCTGGAAGACCACTACGATGTCGGAGACGAGATCGGCAGAGGCACCCAGGGCGTCGTCTACCACTGTGTGGAGCACCACACAGGTAAGGCTTGGGGATGGGGTAGGATGTGGTACAGTGCGGAACGGGACGCTGAGGATTGAACGGAACGAGATCAAATGGGACAGAACGGGGGCATGGAATAGGACGGATCGAAAAGCGGAATGGGACAGAACAGCGGCCAGGACGCACGGGATGGAACAGGACGTGGGACGGAATGAGTGGAACCACGTAATTAGGCACCCAGCACAATAAGTAATAGAGCATGTTCCAATCTGGTTCAACATTCCATGCCCCAGAAATAGCTAATTTAAGATCCAACAGAATACGCAGAGTTACAGATCTGTGGTATATATATATATATATGATCTCTTGAGCCTCGGCCTAATTTTAAGCATTCCATTCCTTAAACTATCTTGAATAGACCTATGCATACTGCCCTGAAATTTGAAGCAATGCCTGTAACTCATGAAGACACGACTCACTTCTGCCTCACCCACCTCAGGCAGGAACTTCGCAGCCAAGAGCATGTGGGGCAAGGACAACTTCAAGACGTGGATGAGGTTGGAGTACGAGATGATGAACCTCAACAACTCCTGCAAGCAGATCCTTCGCCTCTACGACGCCTACGAAGGACCCAAGAACATGGTCCTTGTCACTCATCTGTATCCTTTTATATCTGACTGGAATCTTTGGCTTTGATTTGCACTTTTGGGTTTTGGGTCCAATTAAGGCCTATCAAGCCACCCGCTGGAGGGTTATTAAGGACACCACCACAGCCTACTGACCAACCAGCAAGTATACTGTAGTCCTGAACATAGTCCAGGACGACAGTATACTGTCAGTGTGTATGAGAGGTTACTTTAGAAGCTGGGGTATACTTCTCGGTGTATATACACCTTGAAAATTGGGGTTAATACATTTTCAAGAGATTGCTAATTGTCTGTTCATTTTAATTCTCACTTTCTCCGTAAATCATTCCCTGTAAGATTTTTTACATGCATAATTTTATGTTTGGTATCGTACACATTTACACATATTTTCATTATTTACAAAAAATTTTATTGTCTCTAATTTTTTTGCCAAAGTTGGAGTAAAAACAAGAGCATATATACCGCGAGCATTATAACTGGGGGAGTTGACCAGACCACACACACTAGAAGGTGAAGGGACGACGACGTTTCGGTCCGTCCTGGACCATTCTCACAATCGACTTGAGAATGGTCCAGGACGGACCGAAACGTCGTCGTCGTCCCTTCACCTTCTAGTGTGTGGTCTGGTCAACACACTTCAGCCCCGTTATTGTGACTCTTCGCCTGCAACTGAGAGAGCGTTGAGGGTGTCGCAGGGTGTAGGTGAAGAGCCAGTCAGGGTTCCTCACCTCACACTGCCTCCCTCAGGAGCATAGGGTGTCGAGCCTCACCTCACACCGCCTCCCTCAGGAGCATAGGGTGTCGAGCCTCACCTCACACCGCCTCCCTCAGGAGCGTAGGGTGTCGAGCCTACTAGCCCTTATAGTTCCTTGACGAAGTAGCACAGCTGCGGCGGCGGTGACCTGCTGGGGGCCCTCACTCAGCGTCAGCACCTGACGGAGTACGAGGTGTGTGTCATCATCAGACAGGTCCTCCTCGGCCTCGACTACATGCACGACCACTACATCGCTCACCTCGGCCTCAACGTAAGTACGACCTTCATCAGACGGGGGACACTAAAATGCTGACACTTTATACGGAGGGCTTCGAGTAGATTATAATGGATCAGTGACTGGCTAGCAACTGGTTGGGTGACCGTCTCGATCTTGGCTGAGGGGAGAATCAAGATAAGCCCAACTTGTCTCCTGTCCCCCCAGTAAATCAATACCAAATGTTCGAGATTCTCACAGTTTCAGGCCACAAGCTCTGAGATGCTTTGGTCTGAAATGCTCATCCTGTATTGTAAGATAGTTTTACTGCCTGAAACAGCAGGTTTCATGTAATTTATGGCGATTCAACCCGAACCCACTTGGGAAAACAGTTTGAATCGGTAGCACTAAACAGTCCGATTCTTTTGTGGAGTGGTGGTCCAGTGGTAGAGACCTCGCCTTCCATGATGCAGGACTGTGGTTCGAGCCCCAGCCCCCGGTTGTTTACGTGTGTAACCCGAGG